ACAGCCAAATACAGAGGATTCCTATCACCAAAAGAACTGCCTTAGTGGCTTTTAGGTTTCAAAGGAAACCCCAAACAGATTCACTGAAAGTCCACAAATTTTTAAGGAAGCTGTATTCATTTTGTATTAAAAGAGACAGAGGTAGTTCAGAAGGAAAAGAGGCCACTGGCTCCTGACTTTTCTTGAGCAGAAAGCAGATTGGAAAAATCTTCTTAGCTGGCAAGAGGAGACATTTCCTATGGCAAGAATGTTCTCACTGGGCAAGACTATGCCAGGAGAGCAGGAGAGAGGAAATAAAGGAAAAGAGCTGTGCCCTGATAAAGGAGCAATGTCTTCTGACGGGGCTAAGGGAACTAGTAATGGTGCCCAAGTACACTTCAGAATTCTCTTCTACCCAAAGGGCTTCAGCTATGGAAAATTACATAGGCGTTTCCAGTGCACCTGAGTGGATTTAGGTGGCAAGATACACATAGCTGTCTTTGGTGACTGTCTCAGTATATCTTCTGGTACTGTAACAGAATACCTGAGACTGGCTAATTTAAACATCTCTTTTGTGTCACCTTTCTGGAGTGTGAGAGGTCCAAGTTTGAGGAATTAAATGAGTGCCTTCTTGGTAGTGGGGACTCTGCAGAGTCCTGAGGCAGTGTAGAGAATGACATGGGCATGTATATGAGACAGAGCGTTGCTGACTTTTATAATAGATCCACTCTGGAGATATCCCATTCACCCATGAGTAGTTTAATGATTCACATCTTAAAAGCCACACCTGTGAGATTCCAAAATGGGGATTAAATTTTCACATGAGTTGTGGAGACTGTCAAACTATAGCATAAAGATAGCTAACCATAGGAGCTGGGGATTTAGCTCAGCGGCATAAGCACCTGCCTTGCAAACAGACAGTCGTGAGTTCAGTCCCCAGTACCGATTATAAGGAAAAGGACAAAAAAAAAAAAAAAAAAAAAGGGTAGAATGTGTTTGTTCATGAGGGGACCACTGTGACCAAAGGGCAGATTGTGGTAGATTGCTGCATTATGGCATCTAGTGAATCACATCACTTTGCAATTCCTTTTTTTTTTTTTTTTTTTTTTTTTGTCTGTTTCGTTTTTACCGGTACCAGGGATCAAACTCACGACTGCCTGCTTGCAAGGCAGGCGCTTATGCCGCTGAGCTAAATCCCCAGCCCCACTTTGCAATTCCTTTCATGAGAAATAAGGATCTATTGCCTTGTTACCTTCTTTCGCTATGTAAAGATGTCTTTGGATACTGGGTTTTGCAGGAGGCAGGCTGAGAAAGAAACTGGCGGTATAAAATGTGACAGAATGTTTGAGGACCAGTATCCAGATCTTAAGGGTTTCCTTAGCTTCCACTGTCACTCTCAGAATACTGCTTTGAGACTACTGGTGATGGGAAAGAGTCTAGAATGAAAATTACACGCAGAGAGACATCCAGCCATTCCAGTTGTCCTATCGAGGCTCAGCACCCAGTAAACCTCCCGGTTCTATGCTGCTGTCTGAATAAGCCAAGGCAAGCCTGACAAAACCACAAACATGACTTACAGAGAATCACTGTCTTAGTCATTTTTCTCATCTGTGAGGCACAGTATCTAACAGCCACAACTTAAGGGAAGAGAGGTTTATTCTGGCTCACAGTTTGTACAGGATTCAGCCTACAGTCCAGGGACTCCAAGGCAAGGCAGCGAAGCAGAGGGACACAACAGAGGAAAAGTGTGTCATTGTGTCTAGGAAATAGAGAATGAAGGAGGGCCAGGGAAGGAGATGAACTCTTCCAGCTCATGCCCACAGTGACTCACCTCTTCTAACCAGACCTCCATCTTCTAACACAGTCATCTTCAAATACCCCACCTATGATTACATGGTGCTCTTGGGGGATATCTAGATATAAACCATAACAATCATGAAAAATAACAAGTTACATGTTAAGATACCAGTTTTAGTGTGGTTTGTTACTTAGTAGTAGTGAACTAGAACAGCAATTTAAGTATGTTATGTCTCACATATTATTTGTATATACAGAACCTTTATTCCAACAGACGCAATAGCTTATCTCATGAATAGAGATGACAAAATACCATAATCATAAAGTATTTTGGATTCATGAGTATTGGTTATTGTATCATTATAAACTATAGTATTACCTTTAACCTAGAATGAAATGATACTCATCTAATAACAATTTTTGCTACAAATATAACTTCAATATATTCACTGCCTCTTATAGTATAACTGCCATTAAACTCATCTAAGTTCTAAAGTGGATATGGAAGTTCACATAAAGGAGTAAAGAAGAAATTGTTTATACCGACCATTAGTTGAGGAGAAACGCAAAGCCGTAGTTGTGGCCATATAATGGAATAATAAAAACATTCCGTCAAAGGCAAGACTATTTTCTTCATCAAAAGCTCATGTAAGAGCTGGGCATGGTGGTGCACATCTGGCCTCCCAGCTACTCTGGAAGCTGAGGCAAGAGGATTATTTGAGCCAGGAGTTTGGAGCCAGAGTGGCCAACATAGTGCAACTCTGGCCCTTAAACAAAAAAGTCATGAAATGTTTTTAACTTTCTAATACCAAGGAATTTTAGTAAGATACTGAGATTTTGTGGGATTTGTTCAATCATTCGTTTACTGGGCAGATATTGTACACTTATTAATGTGTTAAGCATTATGCTAGACATTGGGGAGATCATCATTAAATCACATACATATGTTTTCTTTTTATTTCTTTCTTTTTCTTTTTTGTAGACTTCACAATGAGCTACATCTCTAGTCCTTTTTATTTGTTTTGAGACAGAGTTTCGCTAAGTTGCCAAGGTGAGGCTCAAACTTGCAATCTTCCAGTGTCAACCTCTCTAAGTGCTGGGATTACAGGTATGCCCCACCACACTCACTGAAATATTTATATGATTTCTGGTCTCCTAAAACCAGGGGATGGAGGGGTAAATGGAGCAATGCAAAGGCAAATGCCCTGTTACAGTCGGGTGCCATAAATGAGTGCCCTGATAGAACACTAGATGTATTAGTCACATCAGCATCACCCATACCAAATTCCTGTGGCAATGAACTTATAAAGAGAAAGTCTTACAGTCTGGGAATTCAAATTCAAAGTCAGGTGACCTACTGCTTTTGACTCTGATGAGGGCTGCACCTGCCAATGTTGGGATTTTATGGTGGAGCTAATGGATATATTATGACCCAGAAAGCAGAGAAAGAGAGAGGCTGAGAAATGAGGCTCCAAATTACCCCTTTCAAGGGCACTCCCAGTACCTGGGGAGATCCCCTAAGACCCACCTCTTATAGGCCCACAGCACCTCCCAATATGGCTATCCTAGGGGACAAAGCCTTTAGTATATAGATCTTTGGGGACTAATCACTGAAATCTTAGCACTAGAGAAACAGGATCTGTTGATTCTTCCCGTAATTTTCTTTAATTGAAGAGGCTCCTATACCTCTTTTTCTTTAAATGAAATTTCTTTAATTTCTTTAATTGAAGAGTCTACTATACCGGTAAAAATAGTGTTGCTTGTTTTGTGAATTATACACACTTTCACAGTGAGTGCTACATCTTGATTCTTTACTTTCTAGGTTCCTGGACACCTATAAATTATATTAATTGCAATGTATGGGGAGCCTAAATTTTGTCCTCATGCTACTGACCCACAAAAGATGCAGTATAAAGGAAAACATCATTCTTTGATTTTCCCTTTAGACTTCCAGCTGGATTTTTTCCTTCAGAGAGCAAAATGAGAAACTTTCTTCATGTAAACAAGAAGTACTTTCAAATATCTAAGGTCTGTTTTTCCTCATGTCCTTTGGAACTATGCCTGGGATTACCAGCTTCATTTTTTTATGATGTGTGTGTGTGTGTGTGTGTGTTTGTATGTGTGTGCCTGGAGTTGAACTCATCAACTTGTGCTTGCCAAAGCTGTGCTGCTAAGATATTACCCCTGCCCTTTTTATCTGCTTTTGATGGTGATGCCTCTCAGGTACTCCCACAACTTAGACCACACCCTAATGTTTATGTAAACATAGTAAGCAACTAAACACTGTTTGACTCAAAGAATTATGGCTGAAAATTTATCATTTTAGACCAGAATTATTCCCATTGCTTTTTATTTGGAAATGTTCAAAATTTTAATGTATTTTGTAGCCAAAAAGGAAAGTATCATGGCAAAAAAAAAAAAAAAATGTGGGAAAAACAAAAAATCCTACAAGGCAAGAATTGTTTTTAAAATTCTCTTTTACTAATAAAAGTTTATTTTAAAATACTGTCTCAAGAAAAGTGGTCTTTAATTCCCTTACATTGTACATAAACTTCACTATCGTGTGTGTGTGTGTGTGTGTGTGTGTGGCACAAAAACAAAAGGAAGGGACAATGTATTTAGTAAAATGAAACTTGTAAAATATGTATACCCCCACAGTTTCAATAAATTATAGTTGCTAAAGAACCAAACAGGTAATGTCAACACTCACATTAAACCAAAAAAACAAACAATAGAGGCACTTATGCACAAAACCTACTGTCTCTTAGAGGGCAGATCTTGAGCAATTGCTTCTCAACAAAAGAACCCCCTCAGGAAAGCACTGATAACCCTTTTTTTATATAATTGCAGCAAAGTTTGACAGCAGAGTCAGCCTCTCCTCTTCCCTAGTGGAGCTACACTTGATAGCCCTGTTTGCTCTACTTTCCTGTAATCAAGTCCCAGGCCTTTCTCTCGCCCCTTTCAGGCTGCTCTGCATCCACCTTTCCCTAGAGGAAGGACTTGCCCACCGCACCCCCATCCGTTGGCCCCGCCCCCTGGCAGCCTGGCCCCGCCCCCGCCCCTCCCCCACCGCACCGCATTGCCCCATCCGCCCTAATCGTTCCCTCTCTCTCGGCCAGCCGGCCCCGCCCCCTCCCCCTCTCCTCCTCCCGCCCCGCCCCCGCCCCCCGCCCGGCTCCTTCTCCCCTCCCTCCCTCCTGCCGCGCCCCTCCCCCACCATGCCTCCCCGCCCCCGCCCCCCGCCTCCCGCCTGGTGACACAGCCCGGGCCTCCGGCGGCCGCGCCAGTGCTGCCCTCCACCTCCGCCGGCGCCGCACCTGGGCCCGCGCCCTGCAGCCCCAGCAGTGATGGCTGCGGACGGCGTGGACGAACGCTCGCCTCTGCTGTCCGCAGCCCACTCGGGAAATGTCACTCCCACCGCCCCACCGTATTTGCAAGAAAGCAGCCCCAAAGGTAAGGCCGGCCCGAGCTTTCCACTTGGCCGGGAGAGCTGGCACGGTGAGAGCCGGGAGCCCTCGCGGAGGGGGAAGCGACCCTTCCCGTGGGCCGGTGGGGAAGGATGCTGCCTGCGTCCTCCAGCTCGCCGGCCTGCGGAGAGCTCCGCAGCGGCGCCCTGCTGCCGTGGCTGGAAGAGTGTGTGCGTATATTTCACCACTTTTTGCCCAGGGATAGTGGATGTGGCAAGGGTTTCCCAGGCTCTGCGTTCTGTTTTCAGAGCAACTCCCGAGTGCAGCTGGGAGGTGGTGCAAATCATTCACAAATCCCTCTGGGTTGCTGCGAAGCCGGGAGTACTGCTTACCTTGGCATCTGTCCTTGAAAGGACTTTAGGTTGAACAATATGCATCTCTTATGTTCATTCACCGGTTTACTGTTCAATTAGGAAATTGCCTTACCAAAGAGAATATAATTAATTAATATTCCTAATATGTCTGAAATTCCTGCCCATGAATATTAATCCTACTCCTAAGGAGTGTTGTGTTAGCTTTAACTGCGAATGAAGAAGAACCTTATTTCTGATAGAAGACAAAATGGGATATTTTTATGCATATTGAGTGCGGTTGAAATTAACTTCTAGAAAGTAACTCAAGTTAATACTGCGTGTATCTCTGTTTATTTAAAAAAAATAGGATCAGAAGAGATTGAATTGAGTGGGATATGGAGAAAGAGGAGAGGGAAATCTGTTTGGCAAAGTATTCAATTTATGTAAAGACCTGTCTTTGTTCTAAGCCTTTTCCATGATTATACTATAGTAAAAATAAGGTGGAGTCAGGCAGTCTAAAGAATGGCAGGGAAAGCTTGCGAAGATCATCAAATATGGCACTTGCAGAGGTAGCCCTACTGCATCTCCTTCTTTTGACCGAATGTGAGTGAAATTTAAAAACCCCAGGAGGTAAAAGTTAGGGCTTTTGAAAATATAGGCAAGTCCTGCTTCCACGAAACACAACTTTCTCTAAATTCAAGCCTGAAGATGGAGTAGCTGTGGAGTAGGCTAAACTTGTGTTTCTATTTTTCCATTCAACACATCATAACTTGAAAATCAGCTGTCTAGAGCTTAATCCACACTTAACAAGGAGCAAGACAAAGGGAAAGACGTTTAGCTATGAATAATGTAGTGAGTGATGACTTGAGAGGTAAAATGTAAAGCGGAAAGGAAACACACCCTCAGAAACCCGTAAGTCATGTTTGCTGGTCGGCATTAATTAATAGTAGCAGAGCGCAGTAGGTAGGAGGATGGGGGGGGGTTTGAGGTGAATATTTTACTGTTATCTAAGTTGTTATTCACTAATTCCTGTTTCAACTTCGTGGAATAAACCTTTGAAAGACAAATTATATGACAATTTATTAAGAGACCCAGCTTGATTTAAGTAACTTACTTAGAATCTATTTTCATGCCCTCTGTTTTAGATTCCTGTTTTTGTATATTTAGTCAATTTATGGCTATATTAAAAAATTAGTAATACTTATACTCATGGACCTATGTGAGGACTTACTATTTTCCATAGATTTGTTTAACCTGGTCAGACTCCTTCAACTATGCTGTATGTACAAGTTCCAGTTCAGCTGCTGAGAAAAAGTTATTTCATGGTAGAAACAGGTACTTTCAACAATTAGAGAAATACACTGGTTCAGCTAAAAGCTTTATTCTGCCTTATCATAGAATAAATTTTTAAACAGGTAAATGAGGCAGTTGGATAATTAGAAACACTAATCTTATGTGGTATGATACCTATGAAGCAAGAAACCTAAGTGAAAAGTGGAGCCATTTTATTTGCATTTTTGACAGAATATCTTTCCTTGATTAATAACAAATAACTATCTTCATAAATATTCTGAGTAATGTGTAAGATCTAACTCTTCAGGGCCATTGCTATTCCTTCTTTCAGTAATTTATTGGGCAACACAGTGTGTTAGACACTGCTGTAAGTGAACAAAACTGGCCCAAAAAAATGGCCTCATGGGAAGTAGGGCCATTGCTGCCGTGGGGAGAAAGAGTAAACTCAGGGCTGAGTGAATTTAGATTCCAAGAAAACTGACACTAGGCCAGATGTGGTTAGTATTGAAAACAATTAGAATTGTTAGTTGGAATTTAAAAGACAAGAAACAGAATGTACTTTTTAATAATGAAATGTAGTTATAGTACTATTTATAGTTACCCGAACAGTTATTTTAAAAAAACAAAAATCAAAGAGCCATAAGTGTATTTTCTCTTGTATAACCCATTTCTCTTTGTGTTGCCATCTAAGGCACATAAATAATAGTTCCCACTCCATTCTGGGTTAAAAGTTTTAGTGTTTTTATTTCTGTACATGCTATTCATAATGCAGTGAGGGGTAGTTACACTGTGCATTGGATTTTAGGCCAAGAAGAATCCTGTGTGGTCTGATGACAGGATGCCTGGGTTTGTAAGGGCTGTGCTCCTAGTGGCCTCCACTGTCACTCCTGGGTTCCTGCGTAGAGTAGCAAAATCCCTTTCTCTTGATTACAGTGCTTTGTTGGATACACTTGCCAACTTTTATGTAGGCACAGAAGTTAAAATTAAAGACAGTTTAGTCTCAGAAGAAAATTTGAAAAAATGAACACAAAACTTACGTATTAGGTATATTAATTGATTACTATATGTCTATCAGTTTTGTATAGCAAATAAATATGACTTTAAATTTATGAGTCTTTTGAAAAAAGGCTTTATATATGGGTTATCTAATTGTCTATACACAGTTTTGACTATGAAAATGTGATTACTGTGTATACTGTAATTCACAACAGGAAAAATGTTTTGAGAGAGGGAGTTTGATTCACTTGTTTTTTTTCTTTGAGACACACACACACACACACACACACACACACACACACACACTTGGTACACTAGCCAAGCTGTATTGTAGGATATGAAAAACATAGTCTGGCTCCTCTTCCAGCATACTGGAAGATATTGAGACATAAATTATATATTCATCCAAACAAATGAAAAAAAAAAACAAGGGGATGAGGCCCTTGCTGGAAATGTGGCCCAGTGCCTGGAGGAGTATTTTTATAGTTTAACCTTATTAGAGAAGACAGAGAAGGCTTTTCTGGGGCATTAATGAGATCTGAAGGTTCAATGTGAGTTAGCTTGGGAAAAATGGCATTGATGCATTCTAGGGAAACAAAGTGGTGTGGGCAAATCCTTCAGCAGGACAGAGTGCAGCAAGTATGAAGCAGTAGGAGTTCCAGGGCATTAAGATGGATGAAATGGAGATGTAGGTGTGGTTGATCATCTTCCAAGGGTCCTCTGAAGAACTGTGCATGCAGATGTTCAAGCCCTGCATTGTTTTACCTCTTCAATGTGGGATGATCTTGTGACTTTATTTTGATCTCTTGAACTGTTGTACTTTATTCAAAAAACAAGGCCCCATGATGAAAAACGGGGCAAGACCCCAAGATGACAAACGGGGCAAGACGTCTTTTTTAAAAGAAGCGCTTTTAATTTAGCTGGCCCAGCGACACAGTGCAGATGGAATTTGCAAAGCTGTGCAACTGAGTTAGAGTTCTGACTGATTTTTATAGTTCATTTATGATTAGCTCATTGATCATTAAGTACATAGTGATGAGAAACAGAAATAAGGTGGGCCTTTGTTCCCCTTTGCTTGAGGTAAAAGGTACTTCACAGTGGGTGGTTAGCCAATTCATAGCCCTTGGTCTGCCAATTCCAGGAACATTTGTCTCTCATAAAAGGAACAATGGTTGACATAGCATCATTTGTCTATTACAAGGGGAACAAAAGTTGACATTGCACACAGGTCACTAAGGTAGGGAGGATGACGCATTACAGAGCAGCAGAACACACGGTCAGTTAATTTATAACTATGTGGTTGGTGCTTGGTTACTATGAGCTCAGTACAGAATGACAATATTACTAATAACTATCTTTTTAAGTAACTATTTTTGTTAATTATCTTTTGATCAATTATTTTAATTTTTAGCATCTTAGTATAACATGAACAAGGTAGAAAATAAACTAAATGACTTTGGAGGCTAAGTTACAAGAGGTTTTATAGCTTTTGCCTTGGTCTCCAGGAGGTGCACTCTAGGAAAAGTAACTGATGCAGGAAGTATAATATCTTGATGATGGAATTGTCATGCTTGGAGGAACCCCAAACTAGTGATACGGAGAGAAGTTTCATAGAAAGTTGTCTGACCAGCCTTCAGATATGTGAATGAAGATACCATCTTGGAAACTACTCAGTTCAACGTAAAGTGGCTGTAGCTGAATTCTTACTGCACGAGGCTGTAGGTGATAAATGCCCAACTGAGGCTAAACGATTCACAGAATCATAAGCGCTAGTGTGAAATTGCTGTTTAAGTTCAATCCCCAGTACTACCAAAAATAAACTACTAAGATTTTGTTCATGATGATGATCATGATAATGCTCATGATAATGAATATTAGCCTGTTCATTCAGGACATTGTGAATTATGTCAAGGAATTTGTCTTAAAGGAATGAGTTGGCCATACACACACACACACACACACACACACACACACACACACACACACACATATTGCTATAGTTATATAAAATCATTCTGTAGACAGTGAATTAGAGGACTGGCTAGAATAGATGAGAGGACTTACTTAGTTGCTCTTTAGTGAACTGATGGCAGCTTGGTTCAAGTCATGGTAGAAATAAGAGGCACAGATGTCATTAAGGAAGTGGACTAAAAAAGATTGTTGGTCATAACCCAAAGGAGTGAGAGGGTAGTGACAAGGATATTCCCTGGAAATCTGCCTTTTACAGCTCAATGTTATGACTACCTAAACTAAGACATTTAAGTACCAGAAGAGGACCAAGTTTCAGAGAGCATGGGGAATCATGAGCTTGATTTTAGACATAAAACATTCCAAATATTTCAGATATCCTAGAAGATGTAACAATTTGATCCAAAGGAGTAGTACTAAGACACAAGGTCTGGGC